GGTGTCCCTGCTTGCCAGCCTGTGTCTGGCTGGGGAGGGAGCTGCAGCCTGGTCGTCGCTGGGTGGGAGGTGCTTTGGCTTCTGTGCGTGGTGGCTGTGGGGAGCTGGTCTCAGTGTGGGGCTGCTAGCACTGCGCTGGGCCTGAGCAAACCGAGCGCTTCCCCCTGAGCCAGTGGTTCTCTAGGTTTGTGGGGGCTCCGTCAGGGGTGCACTTTGGTGCTAACTTCTCCTTTCTCCCTCCCCCAGCTCTTGCCGCTGTTCCAGCCTCTGCCCTCCCGTACCAGGCAGCCCCCAGAGGTGCTGGGACAGAGGCTGGACCCGCTGCCCCAGCGCACCCTGAGCACTGCAACCTGGACCGATGATGGCTGGGCCCCTGAGCGTGGCAAGCAGCACCCCTGCCCGGGACGAGGGCCTGGTAGTCCCGGCCTTGGGAGCAGCCGTGCTGCCAGGGAGAGATCCCCTCAGCTGGCCAAGTGCTGCAGTCACGGACACTGAGCACCAGCCTGAGAGAGATCTCTGTGTAGTGCCAGCGGGTCCCATCCCTGCAGTGCTTGTCCTGCTCCCTCCACGGTGCTCAGCCCTAGCCCCCCCCCGACTGCCCGGGACGAGGGCCTGGTAGTCCCGGCCTTGGGAGCAGCCGTGCTGCCAGGGAGAGATCCCCTCAGCTGGCCAAGTGCTGCAGTCACGGACACTGAGCACCAGCCTGAGAGAGATCTCTGTGTAGTGCCAGCGGGTCCCATCCCTGCAGTGCTTGTCCTGCTCCCTCCACGGTGCTCAGCCCTAGCCCCCCCCCGATTGAAATCCCTGCCCATAGCCCAAGCTGCGCAACTCCTTACCATATCCCTGGTTGCTTCAGGCACCGGCTGCCACTCTGCGTGGCAAGGCGGGAGCCCATAGCATCCTCTGTTGTGTGGTCAGTCCCCTGCGGTGAGAGTGATCCTTGCTAAGACAGATTCTGGCTGTGGGTGTGAGAAGGGAAGGCTGGTCCTGGAGGAGCACGCGGACCCCCTTGGGCACGATGACGAAGGTTCAGGGCAGCGGGTTCTGCCGCTTGGCAGCCTGCTGGAGGGGATTACAGGGGTGCTGTGTCTCCTCCCACTTCAGCAGTGGAGGTGCTGCAGTAGTGTCTAGGTACCACCACCCCTCAAACCTGTGTCCAGGCTCTGAGAAGAACCGAATAGAGCATTGTGGTTTAGGTTTCCCCTTATTTATCAGATTATTTATTTATTTGTCTGTGTTAAATTTGTGTTGTGGAAATAAATCCTTTTTCTAGTAAGTGATGCTGGAGACAGAGTCACTTGCTACTTTAAGGTTGAGGAACAGTCTTGGCTTTATTCAGACTTCCCCCCCTGAGCCTCCTCTTGCACCATGAGAATAAGGCTGGGATCCTCAGTTGTTGAGCAGGTTGGCAGCACACTCATGCATGGAAAGTTTTGTCCTTGCTGCCACCTGCATGCTCGTCCTGTGGGACCAGGGTCACAGGTAGGCAACAGCATGTGCTGGAGAACCAGGTTCCTGCCCAGCCTCCCTGGTGGCAGGCAGCTGGGCTGGGGCCAGCCCCGTGGCTGTGCAGCAGCTGGGGAAGCTTAGGGGCCTCTTACCCAGGCAGCTTCTTAAGACTGAGGTGGGGAACAAGGTAAAAAGCAGGGAGCAAAGCCTTCAGGGGCTCTGAGGGGGGCAGCTTTTCCACTTAGGAGGGCAGCAAAGGATGCCCTCTCCAAGGATCACAGCAACTCAGTTGCCACTACCAGCTCAGGAGTTGAGCTCAGCTGTCCTGCTGGAATCACAGAGAGCAGCTCCACCATCCCACCGTGGCAGCAGGAAGCCATGCCGACAGCCAGGAGCCGTCACTGCTGGGGAGGTGCTCGCTAGAAAACAAGACTGGTGCTGGATGGCTCAAGAGGTCTGTTTATTGCTACAGGAATGGGAACAGCTGAGTTCAAGTAAAAGTGACGAACTTCATTGGGTCATCGGGGGGCTCCAGCCCCAGGGGAGGAAGGCTCATGCCTGTGCGCACAGCTGCAACCCCGACCTGCCCTGGGGCAGTGAGCTGGGCTGGAGCGATGTGGTTCCCCCACAGCAGGCCCAGCCTGCGCTCAGGGGCGAGAGAACCACGGGTCCTGGCACTAGTGCCCAGTTAGCGTGTGGGACAGCACGGAGCACGTGTGCCCAGCACAGAATGGATGCAAGGAGACGCAGCCCGCTTTGGTGGTGACTGAGGAACCGATCCCAGAGCCCTCAGGGCTGAGCCCGGGATATTGGCCAGGACCATGGGAGGATTGTCCTAGGAGAAGACGTGGTACAGAGCAGGGCACCTCTTAAGAAAGGCTCTGGGACAGGCTGAGCAGAACAACTCGTGGCTCGCCTGGTTCCTGCAGTAACTTTGCTGGTGACTGCTGTTCTCCAGCTTGTGGGCTTGTAAGAGATTGCAGAATGGCCACCCCAGCTGATGAGCTACAGCCCCTCACCAGCCTGCTCTGCAGACCAAGGCATGGGGCAGCCCAGTGCTCCAGGCCCCAGCCCTAGGCTGGCTGCCTCGGTGGTAGCGTCCTGCTTATTGGAGGGAACTGCCAGGGCTGCAGCCTTGAGCCCGCTGGCAGCGGGGGACTTTGCTCTACAGCCATGGAATGCAAAGGTTGGCACTGGGGCGAGGCGGAGAGCACAGCTCCGTGGCTGCCTCGGCCCGCAGGCACTGGTTCTGACATGGAAATGGAGTGCAGAGTTGAGATGGTCTTTAAGAAAGTAGTCCGAGCCCTCGGAGCCCAGGCTGACAGCCAGTCCTGGTTCTGCTGGTGCAACTGCACGGTGGGTACCACCGGTGTCATGGCCCACTGCCCTGGCCTGGCGGTGGCACCACCACCTTGTCCAGCCAAAGCAGGGTGAGCTGGGCCGAGCGCAGCTGCCGGCGGGGGCTGCAGCGGAGGCGGCGGAGGTAGGGGGCGCAG